ATATGATAACAGTTCACCAAAGAGGATCTTACCTTACAAATTAAAGGGAAACTGACAGATTTATGATCATTTATTTTAGTTAATAATGAAATATTAAATGGTTATTTATTGTGACCACATCATATTGAATTTTTGAAAAAAAAATTAAATAAAAAAAACTTTTTTTATTACACCAAAATAACTTAGGGGGGCTTTAAAAATATTTTAGGGGGGCTGGAGCCCCCCTAAAATAGGCCTAGTGACACCACTGGTTTAGTGTTAGCAGAGCTAAGACTCTTGTTTAGCTCCACCACTGAAGGACTGCAGTCCAGTGTCAGGTCTCCAGAAATGTAAAACTGTTTTCTTTCATCACTACATCAACACTTAACAAATAAAGTTTTTCATGTCAAACTATTTTCCACATCTACTCAACATTTGAGAAAATAAAAAAACTTTGCAGGCAGAAGGGAGGAGGTCTGGCTCCTGCAGAGACCAAGACTTCATCACCCTTATTACACAGGAAACAGGATGACAGAACAAAACCAGTCTTTTTACAAAATTTAATTACAAAACCAAACAAAAAGAGCAACTTGATTTGTTGTTGGGTGCAGAGAAAATGTGACAGGAGGGGTGAATCTCTTTGCAACCTTCAGTGCTGAAAACATTGATGGAATGTTTAAAAAAATACTTTAAGGCTGCACACTTTCTCAAAACCAGAATAAAAGGAACATGATTTGTTGTGACAAACAGTAACAATCAGCACGTTGAACAGACCGACAGGTCGACACAGTGACTTGACACGTTCATCAGTTCTTCTTCTTGCTCTTGCTGGCAGCTTTAGCTGCCGGCGCTGCGGGAGCAGCCGCCTGGTAGAGAGCGGCGGAGATTTTGTTGATGTAGAACAAGGCGAAGAGGGAGAAGATCAGGCTGAGCAGGGTGACAAACACAAAGTACAAATTGGAAAAGTGGCTAAACGTTTTGTGTTGAAGTATTTACGATGCTGACGAGGCGTCACTCACCAGGTGGTGACACACACACGGTGCACCAGGCCAGAGGCAAACAGTGACAGACACAAACACAGCAAAACTGAAAAACAGCAGAAATGAGCCTTAATGTCAGACAAACTCCTGCAGCAGCTTTTACAGCTTTACTGTAGGAACTGGGTCACAACTAATGTCCAGTTACATTTAATACACTGTCATTTCTTTTAAATACTGTCACAATACTTTTTTAATGTCACAGTATTTTATTTAATACAGTCACAGTATTTTATTTATTAGTCACAGTATTTTTTATACGTCAGTATTTTTATTCTGTCACAGTATTTTTTATACGTCAGTATTTTTTATTCTGTCACAGTATTTTTTATACGTCAGTATTTTTTTGAATACCAACACAACTTTGAGTTGCACCTTTAGCATCAACCTATTGAACTTCAATTAGGATTAATTAACTTTTTATCTTTTAACATTTAAACTTAACTTCTGCAGTAAGTGTAGTATAATTACAGTTACTGGGTACATAATTACTTCTGTGTCTTAATAAAAACACTGTGTACACAACTGAGGGACTGGGGGGAAAAGTTGGGTGGTTGTTCAAAAAATAAATACCTTGTTGATGTTTCTTACTTTAATACTTTTTAATGGTTTTAATTTCATTTAATACCTTTTCCAACCCCACAGACACCCTCACAAAAATAAAATAAAATTTGTGCTGTGTATTCAAAAAGTGTACTCGTCACAAAAAACAGTTGATTAGACATATTTTAAAAACAACACCAGTTGTAGAACTAAAGTTTACACTTAGTACTGGAAACTTTAACTGAAACAAGAAAGTAAACGTTGTACTGTACATAGAAGGCCTGTGTGTACTGTGGCCTGTGCGTACTGTGGCCTGTGCGTACTGTGGCCTGTGTGTACTGTGGCCTGTGTGTACCGTGGCCTGTGTGTACTGTGGCCTGTGTGTACTGTGGCCTGTGTGTACTGTGGCCTGTGTGTACTGTGGTCT